ATGTGCTGCAGAACAGGAACCTGCTGTAAAACAGCAATTATGCTGAGTCAGGCTTGATTTTTAGTGATCTTTTCTTGTTAAATCAATAAATTAAATCAAATCCAATCAACGTGAAAATAAATACAGAAATTATTTTAAAAGTAAAAGTAAGAGAGTTTTACTCACTGCTGAGTTGTGGAAAGTCTTGAATTCTCAACTATCCCACTTTGACTGGGAATTCCCATTAATGAATGGATGGATGCATTTTGGGAGATGTAGTTTATGGTCGATGCTTATTATGAGACATTATTACAGGGCTGTTCAACTAAATTACTCAGTGGGCCAGTTACTCAAAACCAACAGCTTAGCTCTTTCACCTTCTAAAGTAGATAATTTTGTTGCTTTGAACCATAAATTTAAAGTTTACCATTGATATAAAAAACATTTTCATTTAAAAATTTTTGGAGGGGCAGGACTGGACCGAAGTCACACGGGCCTCTACTTTGACACGTGTTTCAAAACAAACATTTACTGAGAGGAAGGAGACTTTCAAGGCAAACATTAATTTTATTTGACACGTTTAGGGAAAAAAAAAGTTTTTGAATCAACTTCATCTACGCCCAGACCTGACAGATTTATTTTCCGGTTAATGTTTTCGGTCGTTGACAGAAATTCACTTTAAAGTCGATATTATCATGCAAATCTCAAATGTTGGGATATTTACAGCTGTAGATACTATAACTATTTCATTTAAAGATGTCTACATTTCTCAGTTTGGTTTTTAAAATCTAAATACTGGAAACTGCTTCAACGTCTTGATGTGATTCTTTAGTTGTAGATAAAACTAAAATGAGACATTGAGGTTATGTCAATTTTAATGTGAAAAGCACTCAAACATTTCTACTGCTGCTGTGCTGAAATATTGTCTAAATAAAAAATAATCTGATTTTAAGGTACAAGTCGAGTTATTGTCACTGCTGTCACAACAGTTAGACATTAGAGAACAAAGGCCAGTTCTTTAGCTGAAACTCCAAACTCTGAGGTGTTTTCTGTTTGTTAGAACGACAAAAAGTGATTTGTTCAGCCCTCAGAGAATTGTCTGAACAGAGTCTCAGACTCGGTGTCCTTGAAGACTGGGACAAAATGAATTTGGAGGATCTCGGAGAATCCCTCGGACAGAGCAGGAGCGATGAAGTGTTTCCTGTCCAGACAGAGAAACAGATCACAGCAGTCAGAACTATTCTTAAATACTATGATGATGATGATGATGATGATGATGATGATGATGATGATGATGATGATGATGATGATGATGATGATGATGATGATGATGATGATGATGATGATAATAATAATAATGATAATGATGATCATAATGATGATGATGATGATGATGATGATGATGATGATAATAATAATTAATAATAAGTCCTCCAAGCTGTGTGTGTACATGTGGACTTTTTGGCCTGGGATCTGTCTACACTTGTTTCAGGCCAGCTTCACTCACTTGTAGCTGTGGAAAACCATGTCGTTGACCTTAGCGTGTTTGCTGTCAGACGGAGTCATCTCACGGAACTGAGAGCGACAACAAAGCAGTCAAAAAACAGGAGATACTTGTCAGCAGGAATTACAGCAAGTTGTAGGAAATGAACAAAAAAAGGGTTGACTCGTACTCTGTTGTTGTGTTTGGATTGTTCCAAACTGGCTGAGAAGTGAAAACAGCGACATGACACCCCGGCTGCTTTGGCCACGTCCACGTACCTGCAGGAAATACATCCAATTTATCATCAGGTGTCTAATGCTGAGAAGAGTTTCAACTTTCAGAGCTGCTCGCTATGATAAAAACAAAACAAAAACAAAAACAAAAAAAATGTGATGAGTTTCTATTTAAATAATGTAAACAACTAGCCTGGCCCTTGCCTTCCTATGCAGCTCTGCTCAATTCTAGTTTTGCTTCTCTGCTTCGTCTGGCATTTCTCCCACAGACAAGGATTTCGCTTCTAAAATTATTTTTTTTTATCAAATTATTTTTTCATAGATTGTTCAAACCTGTATTATTCTTCTAAAATAAAACTGATAAATAAATATAAGATCTGTAAGGCGTTGCATCAGTTTGATGCTTCAGCTCTGAATTTTTTTTTAGAATCAAATAAAATCCTTTATTGTCAGTATTCTTCTAACAAGGTTCAAACCAATGTTTGTTTGGTGCTGAACACTATAAAAAATTCAAATAAGCAATAGATAAGAAAAATAATTAGCATCTGCAATTAGTAATTTCATTTTGTGAGCTGTGATGTCATGCTGTAAATCAGAGAGGTGAAATAAAGCTGAATTTTACTATGATTTGTGAAGCAAATGAAAGTTTTCATCAGACTGATCCATTACAACCAAAGAGCAAATCAGTTAAAGGGGCAATATCATGTAAAATCAACTTTTTTGAGTTTTATCTCATGTTATAATGTTATACACTCATAAAAAAAACATGCCCAAAGCCTTGCTTTGACTCATTCATGCATGTTTGAGAAATCCTGCAGTGTTTTTAGGCAGCCATGCTGAGGAGCAAAACGACAGGTGGGGACCAGAAACGACTTTTGGGACCAGAAACGCCCCTGGGACATGTCTTTAAGCCGAACTTCCTCATCACGGAGCGCACCTCCCCACCCCCCACTCCACACTCCACACTCCCCGCCCATGACTCCCGCAGGCTTTCGGCAGTAACAGAGCAAAAGTGAAAGTGGAACTTAGCTGTCTGCTGAGAAATGTATTTTCAGATGCCAAGTAAACTACATGCGCATGCGCGAAACAGCCCTCCCCCCATGAAGGGACAGAAGCAGGAGGACGTTCTTAAAGAGACAGAGGCCAATTTCAAGGCGTTTAGAAGAGGAAGTGATGAGAAGATAAGCTTATTTTCTATTTAAACATAAAAACAGCATTTTAATAACAGCTAAAGGTGACATAGATACTTTATTAATGTATAGTATTTAAATATATGCCTGAGAAACATAATATTGGCCCTTTAAATTTAATTTCAGAGTAAACACAGGATCCTCCACCCTCGTCAGTCAGTGTGTAATTATGTGATGTCACCTTTTAATCCTGTTCACATGAAGGTTTACTCAGGGAGGAGGACACACCTACACAACGTTACAGTAATTAACAGAATCTACCGTTTCCGAGACTCCGGGTCCGGGTTGGTGTTGTCCACAGCGACGCTGCGACCCTCCTTCAGAGCGCGCTCACAGGCCGACACGCAGTTCTGCCAGGAGCCGAGCGTGTCCTGACAGAGACAAATGAAAACAACAGTAAAACACTAAAGACTGCAATGAAATGTTCTGGGTGGTTTCAGATGAGCCGTCTTTGAACCCACTCACCCTGTTGACGTAGACGTAGCCTTTTGGAATAATGTGAGTGTGGAAAAAGGAGGATTTACCAGCTATAAGGAACAAAAGAGGGTAAAGATTAGAAGGGTGTTGGTCAGAGGGAGGGGGGACCAGAAAGGTGACATACTGCACCCTGCCTTACCTGCAGGGTAACCCACAGCAACGATGACCTCCGTCTTATCAGAGGTGAGCGAGGCGGTCGGAGGGTCATACAGCCTGGAGGTGGAGTCGAGCTTCCTCTGTTTCAGAAAAAAGAACGGTTAATGTATTTCTGTAGTCTCCAACACTACAGAGCAGAGTCCATGTCCTGGTCCTGGATAGAGCCTAGTTTCTGACTCTGAGGTGACCCCGGTCACATCGGTGTAAGAGGGTCCTAATGGGACCTTTATACCTTTACAAGAATTTACAAAGAATCTGTGGATATTAGAAAAAAATAGTTTCAACTATTATTAGTTGGTAAAGTTTCATTTTCAGTCAAACTTGTGCCAGCAATGTTTTCAGATAGAAAATTAAAAATAAGTCAGAAAAGGCTTTCAGTGGCATCTCTCAAATACATGTTGGAGGGTCACTTTTTTCATTTTAGCTAGTTTCAAGACACTAAATGATGTTAGGACAACGTTCCTCCTCTTTATTCCTGAGTTGTCATGAACTCACAGATCATCTGATGTGGAAGAGTTTATGGGTTTAGTTTAGTCTTAACTGAACTTAGTTTCATGAATACACCTTCGTTTGAAGCAGATGTGTTGAAGCAGGGAGACATCTGAAACATGCAATATGGGAGCCTCATGCACAAAGACATGCATGCAGAAAATGGCTTACACACACACACACACACATGCACATGCACGCACGCACGCACGCACGCACACACAGTCTTTATCCTCATGGGAATTTTCCACTGACTTCCATTCATTTATGGGTAATTTCTATAGCCTAACCCTGACCATTTATCCTAAAACTAACCACTCCAATACATACCTGACCCTAAATGTAGCATCAACTTAATTCACACACTTTGATCCTAAACCTAACGCCCCACCTGAAGTCAGCCTCCAAACTCGTGGGGACCGTGATTCTTTTCCCCACTGAGCATTCGGTCCCCACGTGGATGCAATGTCCTGAAAAACTGTCTCCACCAAGTTGAAAAAAACCTGTCCACAAAAACCTTAGATGTGTTTACACGAATCGAAGCACAATCATGCAAAGAGGGGAGATGATTTGTGAAGCTGCAGCACACACCTGCAGCAGTTACAAAACAAATGGTTCATACAGATTACAAACACCATAATATTGTTAATAAATGCAGAAGTGCACCGAGGTAGCTTCTATAAAACCTGAGCCATTTGTGTGTCTGTCAGGGGCGTGGCTCAGGCTGAGACGATTCAAACATGCTTTAACATCGCACACTCGAGTTTCAGTAGAATGCTCTGAAACTGAAGTTTCACCAGTAAAAAAAATAAAATAAAGACAACGTCACTCACCTGCTGCTGAGGACAGAACAGAAAGTTCTCCTCTACATCAATTAAAACTTTTTATTATCTGTTGCAGAGAGCTTGTAACAAATTTCATCTAATATTAACTGGTTAATTGGCATTCCAGCAAAACTGTATCATTAAACGGCTTCCCAGCATCTGAAGGACTAAAAGCTGTAGAAATGTGCGTATGTCAGCTATCGTGAGGCTCCGCAGGTCGTTTTATCACTGAGACATCTGAACACCCCCTTTTTTTTGTGATTCCTTTGTACAGGAGCGATTACAATTTGCTCACCGGGTCAAATGCAGGCAGGCTGTAGGGGGCGCTCTTCCAGCCTAAAAAGTACTCCTCGGGAGTATGGAACTGAAGCCCAATGTTCAGAGCAAACTGCAAACATGCATAAAACTATTAGTGACGACTTCAGGGCTGGAATATCTGAACAGAGGCCAGAACAGTTCAACGAAACAAACAGATCTTACCAGTCGGTCACTGCAGGAGAAATCCTTCTTCTTCCTGCCAGGAGCCCAGTTCTCTGGTCTTCCTGCAGCATCTGGATACAGAGGTGTTGTGTGTCTGAATATACTCTCTAAATAAAACCATAAGTACCCAGAAAGAGTGTAGGAAATGAAATGTAACTGAGCTGAAAGCTCATGTGACTCTGCTGTGAGGAGACAGCCTCAGATTAAAGCCGGCAGTCTGGATGAACTGGTCTCAGGTCAGTAGAATGTGGCACCCCTTCAGGTCCAGATACAAGTGTTGACTCTTTGTAAACCGAGTCTTTTACAAACACTCGTGGACCAAACAGCATCCAAATCAAACCCTTTCTTCTAGATGTTTTACTTTTTGTTTGAGTCATTAAAATGACCTTAAAGTACACATCATGCTTTTAAATCCTTCTTTTTCAAAAATGACAAAACTGTTGGTAAATCCAGACCTTATTTGGCCATCCCGTCCTGCAAATAATTTAACGTAATGGTTCAGAAAACATCATAGCAAATAGAGAAAAAAAGAACGAGTTGAATATGACCCAACAGGAAAATAAAGATATCTGTACTGTGCACTTCTGGAGACTCCAAGTACAAAATAAAATGCATTTAATGGCTAAAAAGGTGGATTTTGAATGATTTGTCCCTTTGAAATTATTCTTTAGGATGAATAAAAAGCTAACATATGTAAATTTTGGCACACAGGGTTTCTGCTTTGAGTAGTAAAAGAACACAGCTGAGATTACTTACCTCCGACATAAAGACTCTGTGTTTTGTCAACGACCACGCCATCATTAGCCTGAAAACAAAAAACAAAAAGCTAAAAACAGCCACAAACAATAAACCACAAAGAAATACAGTAAATGACAAAAGTGCAAGTTTGACTCCTCTTTGTATGTTCTGATTTGTTAAACAGAATATTTTTAACGTGTGGATGTTAGAACAGGGCTACTCAACTGAACTGCTCAGTGCTCAGGGAGGCCACAGGTGCTCAAAGTCAACAACGCAGGGGTCGGACATTCAGGAGAATAATGGTAGGGGGAAATTAAGTAAAAATTAAATCTGTATTAAGTAAAAAAAGTTTGTTTTTCAAGGCAGGCCAGAGGAAAGTCACCCGCGGGCCACCACCGGCCTGGGGGCCACCAGTTGAAAAGCCCTGCATTAGAAGGTGCAGGTTTGTTCACTAACCTTGTCAGACAGGTGGTTCCACATTCCCACCACTGGTTTCCTGTAAACACCAGGACCTGTAGCTACAAACACCTGAAACACAGAGCGGGAGATTAAAACTGCTTCACACCCAGAGGCTGAACAAGAGGCAAACAACAACACGACCAACCTGCACAGGCAGCTGCAGAGTGGACAGGATGTCCTCAACTTTAGATTTGAAGACTTCTGGTCTCAGTTTGCCTTTAGCAATGCCCAGCTGGTTGGTGAAGAACACCACCTGCAGAAGGACGACCACTTCAGAGAGGGAAAGAGGCATAATATTCTGAATAACGACGACAAAACTTCAACTCCTTCCCACCTTGTAGCCCTTTTTGAGCAAACTGGCCAGCCTGGGCTGAATCTCAGGGTACAGAATCCTGGAAATTAAAACAAGGAATTACCATTTCTAAAAATAAAACCAACTATATATTGCCTGTTTCCTCACATGCTAACAGCATAGCTAATTAAAAAAAAATATGCACATATTAAAAATTCAAAAAGCCATTTATTGCATGTCACAGCTGTTAGCAGCAGGAGAGCAGACTTACTTCCAATCATCAGGAGCTGTAGGAAAGACTTTACCAGATTTGGTGGTGATGATGCAACCATCAATGTCAAATCCTGCAATCTGAAAGTAGAAAAACAAACACGTTACAGAAGCACATAGGTAGGACCAACTGTGCTTTAACATCATGGCTATGATCTAAAGCAGGGGTTCTTAACATTTTTGACCTCGGGGCCCAATTTGTTGAACATAAAGGGACACGAGGACCAGTCAGACATTACCAATGTATGGATCAAAATGATAATTAGTCTAAATACTGGTTTAATTTTTTATTGTATTTACATCACAACTAAACTATCATAACTAACATAACTAAATTAAATACACTTACAGTTTAAAAGTAAAACTCCTGTCAAATAATCACAAGACATGATTATAATAAACATTTTTATATTGTAACCTGCCCATAACAATTAGTTGAACAAATACAACAGTCAGTCAACAGACCACTCAGGCTTATCAACAACAAAAATATATTTCTTAATATAAACAATAACAAAAATAGACTATTAAAAAAGTAAAATTGTGGGCATAAAATAAATAAATTAAAAATGTTTAATGCAAACATTTCAAATAAAAAAACTGTAAAAATAAATTTGATAAAGTACAAATGAAAATATAGCATTTTAAAACTTTTGCAACCAGAAGCTGCTCTTCATATTAGTGACAAACAATAACAGTTACAACAGCTTTTTGACAAGTTAAAAAAAATTGTAAATACATTCATAATTTTTTAAAATAAACTACAAAAATAATTTTCAAGTGCAAATTAAAATATAGTTGTATCTGCAACTGTATTTGATAATGTTTTGAACTTTTAAAATATTGCATGGTAAAAACAGAAGCTGCACTTCATATTAGTGACAAACTTTGGTGTTTTTTGACGAGTTACTTTCATTTTTGCTTCTACTTTTCATTTAAAATAAGTTTCCATTCTAGTCAGGTTTCTAGGGTTCTTCTTCTACATATTAAAAACGTTGTTAAACAACTGAGTGGCGCACTACCGCTACTAGTGGTGAGAAAGTGTATTGCATTTTATTCTAAATCAATGAGGTCCTGAAATTTGTTTTGCAATATGCCATCAATTTTATGTTTTCAAAAATGCATTCATGTTTATTACAAAAATTAAATGTCACAGGCAATACGCAGCTTAAAGCCAGCATGGACCATAAACTACATCTCCCATAATGCATGTTGATTATTAATCAGAATTCAAGATTTTCCACAACTTTCCACTTTCCACAAAAGTGAGTAAAACTCTCTTACTTTTACATTTAATAGTAATTCTTTATTATTTATTTACATTTAGTCAGTCGTTCATGTAGCGCAGTGGTTATAAGATGCTTTAAAACCCTGTTTCTATACAGGAGATACCAGGTAGAGCTCAGTTAGTGTTTGTTAGCACTGCTCAGCTGTAGCAACGAGACAAGGGACATGTTTCCTATTTAGTTGACGTTAAACATGAAACGCTGACGTTTATTACAACTGAACATTTGAGGGCCACCATAACGCTCAGTGAAAATGAGTTTGACACCCCTGATTTAAAGTATTCCTCACCTTGTTGCTTGCTTTGACTCCTGCAGCAGTATAAACCAGCAGGTTTCCTATCTGCTGCCAGCTGCTCTTCGCACACTCCTTAGCTGATGACGAAGAGGATGAAGGCTGGTCGTCTTTAGTCTGGACTGTCGCAGATTTCTCAGCCAACTCCTGCAGACGTTTGAGTTTTTCCTCGATGAGCCTCTCCTCATCGTTGATCCCTCTGTCTGAGACCTCCTCGTCTATTCTTGGTCGCTTCACCTCAGAGGTCTCCCTTCCTGGGCTCAGATTCCTTTTTGATGACTGAACAGAGAGGTTTCAAATAAACAACAAAGTGTCTGGTATTATTTGTACCTTCACTTGTATTGAGAAAACTGATCGTGAGACGAAACACACCAAGCAGGTTTAAATGATGTTTTTACCTTAGAGGGAGAGGAAGTAAAAAAGTCCTTTATGTTACGTTTAGGCGTCGGACCCGGCTGAACGTCTTTCTGTTTGCTGTTGCCTCCTCCTTTAGTCTTATTTGTGGATTTCGGACCCCTCTTAGCCATGCTGGATTCTGTCCCGTTGGAGCTCAGAGTGAAGCGGAGAGTGAACGGGTGGTCCTGGTTGACCAGGTACAGCGTGCCCCCGTGAGCCAGTTTACCGGACTGGCCCCGGCCCAGCTTCTCACCACCTAGGAAGCAGGGGTTGGGACCCAGCTGTGGAGGAAAACGTGACGCATGTGGACAATGAACTGTAGAGTTAAGACATTTATGGTGTTTTTTTAATGGGCTGAGAGATAAGCTGGTTGCTAACTAAGATGTGCTGACATCAGCGTTTTCACACTGAACTGATCTGACTGCTTCAAAGAATCTGTTCAGTTTGGTGCAGACTGAATGTAATCTGATGCCACCGCTCTGGGAGTGTTTGTTTGCTTACCTGAGTTACCACCACATCCTGGTCTGCATAACAAGCCACCACCTTGACTGAAAGAAAACAAGATTTATGTTACAACAAAAGGAATAATCAGACACAAACCCAGTATGAGACAGAAAACAAGAAGGCTAAAAGAGAAATGAATAAGTTTGTCATTTAAAGATCAGACCAACAACCTGTAGTCCATAAAGTTACACCCAATTAAAGCTTTCTGTTATACTGAGTATACTGAGGATTAATGCAAATTCATTTATACAAAAAAATAACAATTATGAAAGTGAAAATCACCTGAATATTAACTGTACCCATCAATTAATTATATTTGCAAGTAGTGTGCACACTGAAGGTGCTGAAAACAGGAAACAAAGCAGCAAATACTTTGTCAGCACTCCTTTTTATCACCTCTGATTTGATTTGGTGAGTAAAAAAAAGAGAAGAATAACAAACCGTCTAACTCAACTCTAAAGCCCTGTAGGTGTTATTTTATCCTCACTAGCAAACCTGTCAATAAAAAAGATAAGACACAAGCTAAAAAGAAAAGCAGGTTTTCCATAATATTAAGGGATCAAGGTCAAATGTTAAAGAGTTTAAAGGAAACCACGTTCACAAACGATCTGAATATGCTGAACGGCTCTTTTAAACGAACAATGGGAACTGAGTTATTTTATCATTTTTTTCCTCCTCAGATGAAGACACCCAAGAGACGAAGAGGAACGGGCCCAGTAGCATGTTAGGATGTAGGGAACAAGGGCTCAGGAGAGGAGAGGAGAGGAGGGTTTAACACTTGACATGCAAACTTTTGACCCAACCATTTATTGCAGGTTTTTGCAGGCCGTTGTTGTGATGTCCAGGGACGATACAATATGTCACTAATGTTCAAAATTGAACGGCTCTTTGAAACAAAAATATCTTCAAGATCTGGATCCCTTAAAGAACCATATAACCCACCTCTAGGGCCTGTGGACCCTCGTCTCATTTGATCACCTACACACCAACATAAATTTAAAAAGTATCTTTTTTTTTACTTTCTATCAATCTTTTAAGACTCTTGTACAGACAATAATCTTTATAATCAGTTTTACAGCCTCAATAAAACAAAGTTAGAATGGTTGAAAATGTCAATAATAATAATAA